TCCTGGACTCCCTCCCTCTTACTCTCTCTTTGGATTCGCGTAATTTTCAGAAAAGTATGCCAGACGCATATGTTTTTCTTGCGGTGTAATTAGCGGAATTCCGTCACTCGAGGCATGAATATGGAAAACAGTGTGCCCGTTCGGTATGCTGACACATCGCTGAATCGTATACAACGACGCTCAATGGGCTACGTAACATGCAAAAACGTTATGTATTCCGAGCCGCTGCGCGGCGAGAGCGTCACGGAGACCGCGAGGAAAGACGTCCGGGAAAAGCGAAGGATAATAAAACGTCGGTCTATCTCGCAGCGCGAAGGATTGTCTTTATTGTTATCAGCTCGATCGCTTTATCAATGTTAATCCTATCAATCTGATAAAGCATTTGCGGTGAAAATGCAAAAATCGGCATTCCCAATTTTATCGCGATGTCCTCAGGGCGAGATAAGCTCTGTAAGGACGCGGCAGCCGAAAGTCATCGGGGAAAATACGTTAATCGATTTTTCTCCCGCTCTCTCGAAAGTGTTCTTTAAAATGCAATTAATGCATTAAGAAATCCATTTAGTTGACTTAAACGAAATTCTTGTTCGAATATGAACAAATGAATGTTTTCGTTGTGAGAATCAAATTTGGTTCTCTGAACTAGACATTTTTTTTCATTTTCGTTCCAGAAAACCAAACTTTCCCACAACCAAAACGTTTATTTGACCATATCCAAACAAGAATTTAATTTGAGTCAATTAAATGGGAATAATAATTCTCAATATATATTATCATTGAGAAACAGTCAATTGTCACAAATGATCATACAAGTATAATAATACTGCAAATCTCTCGATAAAATTTCATTGTTAATAGTAGCAATTGTTTTTCATCGAGAAAAATCTAACAATGAAACAATGAAACAATGAAAAAAGATATTAACAGGAAACAATGAAAAAAGATATTATTTATTACTTCTTTTTTATTATCTTATCTTAGCCTTTATTGTCTTATTTTATATCTATCTATATATTATCTTAATTTCATTCTTAAGATATTGCCAGTGATTGTGCCTGAAATATTTTTAGTCATGTTTTAATTGATTTAATTTGCATTGCGTTTGAAAAACACGCTAATCCTGATAGAGTTCGAACTCGAAATCTCTAACGATTAGTGACGTTTCCTTTGATTCAACTTAAGAGAGCGCAGGTTTTCGAGCACGCTGTAATGACTGTGCCTGAAAAATTCCACCTGGCGGAGCGAGCCGAGCTCTCTGCGGTATTCGCGGCCGGCGATGCGAAAGTATGCGCGCCATCGTTCGACGGCAGGCATATCGATGCCCCTGGGCGCATCTGCATCGGAAAAACGCGTCATCGATGACTCCGATATTTTTTTCATTCAACCGGAGGAGGAGGATTCCCCCACCGCAAAAATCGGGACGATCCCGTCGGCGCGCTCACGCGCGTGCCGTAAATTTTCAGGTGCCATTCCTTATTAACGCGGGTCTTCTCCCATCTCTTTTCTTCCCCGTTTCTTTTCTCTTCTTTTCCCCCTTTTTATTGTTTTCGTGCCGATTCTCCTGTTGCGAGTGGCCTTCTCGAAGCCGAGACGTCGCCGATTGTGCATACCGAGCACGATCGGTTTGCCTCATTGTGCGTTACGTAATGCGTGGACAGAGAAGGAAGAAAGGGGGAAGGGAGGAGGGAGAGAGAGAGAGGAACGCGAATCGTCGACTGATCATGTGTACATGTGTTATATGAGAGTTATATGCGTATGCATGCATGTGCATGCGCAAATACAGGCGATAAATAAATAAATGCGTAGGTGCGCGCGCGGCAACGACTCGTGGAATGCCACGCCTGTCGCCGAGAAAAATCCGGGACATCCTTGTGAAACTGGCCGTTGCGCGATCGAGAGGAAAAAGCCGATTCGCTTGCATTCTTGATGTATCGTCCGCGACAAAATCCGCGATAAATATCCGCGCGCGGCGTTTGCATTCCAGACGGTCCGAGTTTCTTGACCTTTTGCGCCACACTCGAGAGCAAGCCCCGCAAGAGAATCGGCGGGCATTATTATTGTGAAACCGGTGCTCGAAATTAATCGGGTTTCAGTGACGAAGCCCGACTTTATCTTTCGAAAATCGGTAATATATGATTCTATTCGTCGGATATCGAATTATATAATTTTTTTTTTCGACGGCCAAACGTGTGTACATTGAACTCCAATAAAGTTTCGACATTCATCAGTCGAGAAATCTCACTGTAATACGAGTAACCTTTCCTCCGGTGGAAAGTTTAGAAAATCGTACGATCAATGCCGAATCAGCTTCATGATCGTCTCATTAAATTAAATCTCGAGCTTGTTTTACGCAAGCAAAGGATTAAGAGGACACGAAAACTTTGCTGAAAGAATCGGGACTATCATAGTCAGCGAAAGGTCGCGGCGCTTTCTAAGCTATTATTGTTCGAATGCAATTTTATCAAAGGAAAAGGTTACTTTTTTCTATATAAAAAAAAATCTCCTTATACACTTTGCATGCGGGAATTTCGGGACACCCTGTATATATGTGATCCCGAAATCGAATTCGTCCGACACAAATTGAGTTATCTCGATGAGGTTTCTTTTATGGTGTAGGTATATCCAATCTGCGAAGGACAGATTCCCCTTGAGAATGAAATGCTACTTATGTGCATAAAGCAATAACAACTCGGATACCCCACACGTAGATCACGCGCGGCCGACCGACGGCCGTGTACATGCAACGTATGCCTGGATACGGTCAGGTCGCGGATTGATATCGGATACGCGTATAGCGGGACATGGGCGGTTTCGAAGAATGCGTTTCCTTCCTGCCGATACACACACGTACGCCGTATATGGGCGCGCGAACGCGCCGCTCGTGATCGGAGATGCGCGCGATCGCCCCGCTGTTTTATAAGTACGTATTCCGCGCGCTGTAAAATGAGTCATATCGCGATTCCAATTCCATTCATGCGCCGCAAACAAAGTGGGCAACGCGTCGACGACGACGACGCGGGAGCGGAACTTTCGCGATGCGGCAACGGGAGCGGCCGTAGCCGCGGGAGAGAGAGAGCTTACGCAACGAGAAAACGTCAGTTTTACGTTTCTACGAATCAAGTTTCATTTAGACTTTTAGCTTGGTTCCGTTTTGATTTCGTCTACACCGATCGTCTAACGCGAGCTTCGAGTGGCATGGAAGCAAGTGCTACATTCAAGTAAATAATTACTCCGATACTCTTCAGCAAATTTTTACTTGGATTAAGTAAATATTATTTGAACGTAGCATTTTCTTCTTCTTCATTCAAGTAATATTTTCTCGATTCAAGTAAATATTTGCTGAGGAGTATTGGAGTTATTTACTTGAATCTAGCACTTTTTTCCGTATATCCCGAGAGAATTATTGAAACGCTTCTATTGGACACGAGATGCGTTCCGAAACTTATCGAAAAAAGCGTTTCAATCTTTTCTGTGACTGATCGTATACATCAATTAATGAGAGACGCGACGATATCGCGGTGTCGATCACCGGTGACTTCCATACATTTTACTATTCGACACGAAATGCGTTACGAAACTCATCGAGGAAAAGTGCTATTATAATCATTTTATGACTGATTATGCAAAGCGTAACGTAGAAAATTAAGTAGTAGTAGATGACTAATCGATGACTAAGCGAGTCGATGAAACGAGCTGACAGACATATGCATTACGAATCGCATATATTTTTTACTAAATTTACTAAATTTCGACCGTGGTAACTTTATTTTATTCTTAGCAAATTCGTCAAACATCCTTGTTGATCTCATCGGGGATTCAATTCTTTTTCAGTTCGAAATTGTCGATTAGATATAACGGACGTCATAGTGAATGAACATATCCATCGCGAAATTCCACGAGAAAAAGAGAAATCTCGCCTGGTGATCAGCAGATGTCATAATTGTGTCATTTGGAAAAATTTAATCGTGTTCTCTTGATTTTAATACATTCATCCCTGAAGAGAAGGTTAGCAACGAGAATTCCTGCATAATAAATGATTTGACACACCTACAAAAAATACGTGATGTATCGCTGTCCCAATCCCGGCTTTTCGGTCCAGCATCCTGATCGCTTCGTCGTCATATTGACACTCGCGTAGATACAATTCGATCGAGAACGCACGTGTTAAAAGATTAAGCATCTCACAGACCTGAGAAATATTTCAGTCGCTCGAGGAAAATGCAAAACAGCATAGTGACACGCGTACTTCGCGGTATACGTAATTTCTCGTCGAATGGGAACGTAATGAAAACTCGGAAAAGTTTACGGCATGTAAAGATGGATTCAACCGCCTTGAAGGTCCGCAATATTTCAACAGCGTGGATTGTTGTCGCTTGGCTGTTTAATATTAGGCGACGACGGCTGGCGATAAACGAAAGAGTGACTTGCGCTTTTTTACTAACCATTGTTTTAGTATTCTCGCGCATCGCAAATTCTCCCGTGAATGAGTGTTACATTTCGATTTTTGCGCGATGTATTTTGTCGGCTCTCGAAATGTTTAATCGGACCCTCCATCGGCACTGCTTTGATTAACACATATTCTTTTAGCAATCCGCGCGAGTGTCAGTGCTGCAAATTAGTACGCCGATGAAATTGAAAATAAAAATTAAACTGCGAATGAAATGTTGAGATAACCGAATATTAAATAATTTCAAAGTATGTGTGTTCTTTTTTAAGACGTTCCGGCAGGAAGAAAATGGCATCAAGTAGCGCATTTGTAGCATTCGTAGCGTCAAAATGGGGCAATAGTTTCATAGTATATGTTTCCCAAAATCGACGGAATATGTAGGATTAACGTAGAAAATGTATGAAAACAAATAAAATAAAATAACACGAAAGACATGCAAAATTTCGGACAATTCGAGACTTTATATCAGATCTCGCAAATGTTTCCTCAGCGTTTTCACGATCGTCGTCACCTGTCCATCTGACCTAACCGATCACATAACGTTGTGCTCCCGCAGGTAAGCACTTGGTGCTGGTGACAGATCCCGAGATCGTCGAGGATGCGTACGCCTTCGACAATCCTTGCTTCAAGGATGCCACGCCTGCGGTTGGCCGTGTCACAGAGAGACCGTTGTCGGCTGTACCTGGCGATACACCTGTCAAGGATTCCACACGATGGTCCACACCTTGGACCTCTCTTGGCCTCGGATCGGCCATCCGCAACGACAAACGTCGGACTCTCGATGATTCCTACGTCAGCGTAAGGCCCTCATCTGATTATTAATTTTTTTTTCTCACAGACAATCGTCCCCCGTTCGATACGTCCTTCGATACGCGCTATAATTAATTCTGTCCTCGGTCTTATATTTTATTACGTTTTATTAAATTTTATTTTTTATTTTGATTGTGAGAAAATAGTGAATAAAGTGGCAGGAATGTCGCGATGTAAAAACAAAATGGGAAAGACGAGTTGATGAAAACGCACGATGTATTGAAGATATTGCTCTGCTTAATGAGTTATTCAAAAGAACGTTTCGAACGTATTATCGGTTTATCGAGTCATTTCTTTTATTAGCCGAAGGCAAATGCGATTTGGTCGTTTAAGTGAATCCAAATCGATGACTGAATCGTTCCTCTCACACTGTTTGAAAAAATAAGATAAAAAAATTCAATAGCTCGTCATTTAACTCTCTTTTCGCGCGGATTCGATATAACTAACGTAATCCGATAATAACGTTATCTGTGCAAATATATAGCCCGTGTGTCGGCGCGACAGTTTGTCGTGTGGTGACTTTTAATTGAAGATTATCGACAGGCGACCGAGTTATTGTGCCAGGTGGACGACAAATCCCGCGTTTGAATCCGTCCAAGTGTTAAACGTGATGATAGTTCTTGTTGATCACGCGATGCCGGTCACGTGATAATTGAAGGATGAAATGAACGAAGGCGATACGTAACATTTATGAACTTTTACGATCTAACCTAACTGTAAAAAGCCTCTTTCTTCAAAAAGAAGAATTGAATCGGAAACAAATTTGCTTCATAGAATTTATATAAACAAGCAATTAAGTCTCATTCTTTGACGCAACATCCATCAGATTTCAAATTTTATGCCTCACTTTCTTTTCCTAACGGGAATTTCATAGAGAAATCTCATCTGATGAAAAATTTCACTATTGAAATATTCACTCTTCAGCATATATTGAAAAGTACATAAAGGCGAGGATATAACTGGAGATACAAAATATCCTTTCGTTGTCAATCAAATTAACAATTGAGCATACATTTTTACTAAGATGAAACTGTGTCGGCTGTGTTGTAAATCTGTTGCTATTTATATGTCCGGAATACTCCGTACGTGACACAGATGGAAGTGGTGAACGATAACTCGTCAATGGGCATGACTCCTCTTTCGTAAGAATATGACGTATCTCCTTCGTCCACTTGTCCCCGGCTTATTAGCTTGTCATCGCCGCGGTGTCCGTTCATTGATCGTCACACGACTTGACTTCGTACTTGGGATCGCATTCATGACGCCGTTGCGAGTCCGTAAATCGGAAAGCACGACCCACCTACACACACATACACATATGTAGACGCATTCATATATTCGTGTGCGAAAATATACATATAAGCAGATATACGTACGCATGCAATAATGCAGCTACCGTTGAGCGTTTTAATCAGTCGTGTAACAATCGACCCTGCGTTTTGTTGCTTCAGCCCAAGGCCACCAGGGTCAGCGTAGTCAGTCTGCGTAGTCGTGACTTCACCGGACTGGGTTTTAACGTATGCGGTAATATGAGGGAGGGCATCTTCGTCAAGGACCTGCTGCATCGCGGCCCCGCGTCCGAATCCGGACTGATACATCCTGGTTGGTATCGTCGCGACCGAAGTGCCTTTCACGGTTACTTTGAATCGACAGTTTCTCTCTCTCTCTCTCTTATTTTCGTCATATAAATACACTGCGAAGGTTACTCACATTAGGTCGATATGAAGGATTTCTCGCTTCTTTGCGGAGATTCGTTCTGCTAGTTTCTGTTTTCTGGCGAAATGAGATAACGTCGTACGTCTGTTGCGCGTAACGACAATAATAACCATTTTGATTGATAAAAAGTAGTTTCACACAAACCCTGCAATTATGTCCTCACTTTTATCTAACGGATGACAAATGATGAATGATAAATTCTTTGCGCTACTTTGATAAAAGAAAAAACATACATACATACAACTTTGATAAAAGAAAAAACATACATACATACAACATAAAAACATTTATTCCGTCTTGAATATACACAGTAAAAAGTTTTGTGTTAAATTTAACACATTTCATATGTCTCAAATGGTCCATGCAAATTTTGGTGTTAATTTAACACGAGAATGCGTTGGAAAGTAACATAATATTAGATCAATAATTAGTAAATTAGAAAAGTTAGTAATATTATATCAATAATTAACACAAAATTAATATCCATAATTTTTAAATCGTGACTGAAGTGTAAAATGTGTTATTTTAAGTTACATATGTTGAGTATCGATTCAACACAAAATATTGAGGTAACATAAACATAATAAATGTTAGATTAATACACGGGTATGTTAAAAATTTAACACAAAAATTTTAATACGTGCAAAATGTTTTCTACTATGTAAGAATATCGTGCTACAACGCGTTTTTTGACACTTTGTAGCGGCGAACTGAGAAGTAAATAGAGAAGTAAATTTCCAGGTATAGAAATGATCGGGGAAATATAATTTGAAAATAATCGTAAAAGTAATCGGAAAAGAAATAAAAGCGCGAAAGAACAACGTGACGAAGTAACGCGAAACGTAATCAGAGGTAATCCGTTTTACCGTCCGACAGTCCCATTTTCACGCTCAGCTATGTTCCCGTCGCACGATAACGGTGCAACGATGATTTTCTCTTTGTCCGCTGCAGCGGGATCGAGGAATGCAACATAATTTCCGAGAAACGCCGTCGGAAAACGACGATCGCTCCGACGCGTTTAGGCGGATTATAATTCAATACCTCAATTAACGTATGAATATGTCTCCTCCTCCGATAAAAGCCGTCCGCGGATGTAAGAATCACCCACATACCTACATTCCGCAGTGAAAGCCACCGTGTTACCGCCGCATTCGAGCGTTTACTAATGCATGTCGGGAGACGATTAAAATGAGGTATTAAGTCCTCGTTAAAGCGCATTTGATGGCATAAGTGGAGTGCGTGAATCGCCGTGCTATGATATCGATGCCCCAGTTATGGCAAATGCTGCAACTCGGCCGATTTTTATCTCAGATTAAAGAGCGAAGAGTCTCGAGTCCGGCCAACGGGCTGTCTTTTTTACTGAAAAACCCCGACTTTTAAACAATCGTCGATTTAATCGGTGAATTCGAAATAAAGCAATAAATAATATTTTAACTACGTGATTTTCTGTCACGTTAATTTGACCACTTATCGATTGTCGGGGCGAAAGGAAAGTATCCGGAATATTTCACAAGTCTGCTTAATCGAGCGCAAACTTTAAGAGCGTATCATTTTATTTCAACGCACTTCGTAAGAATTTTCAGTTTAATCTTCAGCTTGCCTCTAAGTCTTCAATTTTAAATCAGACTTTCCGCCCTTTTTCTAATTGCAGTATTCACTGATCTTATAATGAAACCCAGGAAAAAGTCACACCGTTATCGTGCGATCACAACACAGCTGAGCGTGAAAATGGAACTGTCGAACGGTAAAGCGGATTATCTCGGATTACATTTTACATCACTTTTTTCGGGTTATTCTTTCGCGTTTAAATCTCCTTTAATTACTTTAAAAATTATTATCCTTTTAAAATTATATCATATAAATATTATATTATTTTCAAATTTTATTTGCCGAGATTGTCGAAGGAACATCGATTATCCTGAAAGAGAGAAAATATGTAATTTTCGAAATTCCGCTCCCGGAAACGAGGGGATCGCCCCGGATCGCAGTTCCGCCGAAGACTGGGAACGATCTCAGGGCGAGACGGCGGGATGCAAAACCGTTCCCTTTCTGCCGCAGGCGACCGCATCTCCAGCGTGAGGATCAGCTTCCGCAACATGGTGTACGAGGACGCGCTGACGATCCTGAGCTACGCCTCGCCGTACGACGTGGAGCTGGAGGTGGAGAGCGGCGGCAACGGCTCGAAGCCGGCGACGCTGCTGAAGAAGAGCGTCGGCCCGAGCTCGACGAGGATATGCCATCCTCTCTACAGGAGCCAGTCGATTCCCGAGTTCTCGCAGGCGCACAGGAGCGTGGCGAAGCGGCTCTTCATGGCCGACCCGAACGACTCGGTCGGCTCGAACTACTCGACGATGAACTCGACGACGCAGAAGTCGTCCAAGTCGACGCCGGCCGGCGGCCAGAACCTCGAGAGGCGTCACGACGAGACGAGGAACAATCACCACCACAAGTTCGGCATCAAGGTGCTGCCGGCGCTCGACGGCACCGTGCACCGCATCGAGAATCAGAACGAGCACAACACGAATCTCGAGAGAAGGCACTCGCGCAAGCTGGACGCGGAGAAGCTGCTGGCGAACCGGCACTCGACGACGTCGAGCGACGGCCCGCCGTCGGAGCGTTACCAGCAGCGCGACGACCACGCGCTGCCGACGACGAGGGTCGACGAGCCGGACGGCGGCAAGAGCGACTCCGTCAACATACCGTCGGAGGTGCCGGCGGAGGTGCACAACGCGGCTATGGCGGCGCGCAGGAACCGCAAGAGCTACCCGGAGCCGCTGAAGACGAGCGGCTCGTTGGAGTCGGAAGGCGGCAAGAGTCCGCAGAAGAACAAGAGGAAGGCGCCGGCGCCGCCGAAGAGCGGCTCGGAGGCCCCGCCGAAGAAGGACGCGATGATCGACACGATCGAGAGCATCGCCGATTACACGGAGTCGTTGTGCAGCTACGTGAGCAAGGCGCGCGACAACGACGCGGCGGCGGCGGACCGGCAGCACCGGCTGGAGAGCCAGTCGATGGCGAACAGGCGGAACTCCGAGTCGGACACCGACAGCGAGATGCAGAACAGCTTCACGACGATCGAGCTGAACCCGGCGGACATCACGATCCACCGCACGCCGGTGCCGGAGGCGCCGAACGACGACGAGGAGGAGGACGACATGTACAGGAAAGCGGCCAGCTTGGGCGACCTCTCCAAGTACGAGAGTAAGGCCGCCGCGACCTTGGAGAGGGCGCAGAGCCTCGACATGAGCGCCGACACGGGCGCGAAGAAGCGCAAGGCGCCGTTGCCGCCGGAGGACATAAACGAGTCCACGGAGGACCTCAGCAGGCTCGACCAGATCGACACGTTCGACCGGCGGAAGCTGAAGAAGTCCAACGAGTGGGGCACCCTGGAGGACGTGATCTGGAGCGAGAACGCCGCGGCGTCCGCCGAGCCGGCGGACGAGAAGAAGACGCGGACCAGGAAGAGGAGCAACGGCACCCTGGAGCGCTCCAAGTCCGCGGTGGAGATCAAGCTGAAGGACGAGGTCGGCGAGAAACGGGCCGAGGACTCCGAAACCAGCAGCATCGAGCTGTACAACCTGCCGTTGAGCAAACGACTGACCCAGGAGTTCATTCACGCGGAGCGGATGTTCAATCCGGACGAGGACAACTCGCTGGCGAGGATCGTCAACGACGGCAATGTCGTGAAGAGCCCGACGCCGGAGGAGCTGGAATTGGACTTCCAGCTGGCCCGGGAGAAACTCGCGGTCGAGGAGGAGGCCGGCGTGTCGGAGAAGTCGGGGGACTTCAGCCGCGCGTTGCGCTACTTCGAGATGCACGCCTCCCCGGAGCCGGCGAGGCCGGACGACTCGAAGGAGGAGGGAGTGACGAGCGAGCCGTCGCTCTACTCCGGTAAGCAACCGGTCGTCGAGGAGCCGGTCTCGAAGGTGAGCGTGGACCGGGGTTGCCGCGGCTGCCACGACAGGCACAGCGCCGACTGCGAGAAGCTGAACGGCCAACGTCGCGCGACTCCTACGCGGACGTCGTCCGCGAGGGAGAGCGCCGAAGGCGAACGGACGCGAGGAGCCAACAAGTCGAGGGAGGAGGACTCGTGGGAGGAGATCGTGGACGGTGGGAAGAACGCCTTCTCCACGTTCCAGGCGCACCGGACGAAGTTCGAGCTGCACACGGCGGATCAGCACGAGAGGAACGGCTCGGCGACGAAGCCCAAGTCGCCGTGCGACGTCGTTACGTTCGACACGCACTTCGGCAGACGCGTGGTCGAGGTGGTCGAGAGCGGGAATCGCGACGACGACGACCCGATGGAGGACGAGGACGAGTACGAGTTCGGCGGGGGCGCCGGGCTGCGGGCGAACAACCGGAGCGCGTTCTCGGTGAAGGAGGAAGAGCGTCGGAACGCCAGCAACGTCAGCAACGTCAGCGTGTCGAGCGGGGAGAACAGCGAGGACAGCGGCCTGGTGAGGGAGTCGATGGACTACCATCCGCGGGACTCCGGCCTGCGTTCGTCCTCGTCGTCGCCGCCGAACACCGGCCGGAAGGCGACCTACATCACGGAGATCAAGGTCTCGCCCAACCGGGAAGGCGCTGCCGACAACGAGCAGGTGACCACGAGCAGCAGCGGCGCTGCGGAGAGCGGCGAGTCCCGGAGGTCGTCGGCGCAGCGGGACGCCAAGGTGACCTCCAACGGCAAGCCCACGTCCGGCAAGAAGCCGCCGGTGCCCCCCAGACGGTCGGACATCGCGAAGAGCCCGAGGGACGACAGGCTGGCCGACAAGCAGGTCGTCTACGTGTCCGAGTACAAGTCCGCGGCCAAAGGCCCGCAGATCATGGACGCGCAGTCGACGGAGATGAGGCAGCCGGAGAACGCCGGGAAGAAGTTCGAGCATTGGATCTTCGTGGCCGACAAAGAGCAGGCTCGCTGGAGCGCCGGCCAGCCGCAGCCCGTGACGAACATCGTCCTCTCCTCGAGGGATGACGCGAACTAGAGCACTCGCGGCCCCACCCGGTCGCATTCGGAAAACACGAGCGTTGCGAGATCGTCTTCGATGATCGTCGTCTCTGATTGGGGTATGCTTTTGGATCCGTGGCAGATCCGAGAGGATACTCCAGTGACAGTGAACACACTCACTCAACCAGCACTCCCAGCGTTCCCAGCAAACGCCAAGCGTAACAGTAGCGTTAATGTTACAATGTTATCATTTTCAATGTTGTAATTCTCTACTCAACGATGTAATTGTTATACACAGCATGCGTTGCACTGTATTTACATTGTGGAGTTGGGAATTATATGGATATTTATTTACTTCAGCTTAGTGCCAAGCAAGGACTTGGTTTACAATCTTTGCATTAACATCCATGTCTGAAGATTACTTAATTAATTAAAATTCGTTACGATAAAATTTAACGCGTAAATATCACTGCACAAGCATTGCCGCTTCTATTACTTTTATCTTGTTCGATCTATCGCAGCCTTTCACATCTAAACGTTAATTTTTATCCGAGTTGGAAATTATAACATTGACGTGATGCTGCTGTTATTTGGCGTTTGCTGGGTTGTTTCCTGAACGCGATCATTGTTGAGAATTGAGAAGAATTCGGTGTGTTGAAGAAGCTACCGTAAATGATATTGTTGATTCAACGTCGCCACTTGCTCTGGGATTCGCGGGTTCGTGGAGCGATACTACCATGTTGATATTTCAGAGAGGCGCCGTCCTTGGTTTGCCCACGTTTCGCGATTAACCGCGGGCTCCCTTCCCCGATTGAACGACTGCGACGTTATGACGCGTCGTGCACGTCAGATTGAGTCACGAGATCTATTTGTTAACACGCCGACTACCGCGTAGGTCATGGACACTGTAATGTCGCGTCTCACCAATTTATATATAAAACGTGATCACTTGTGTATAAAAAATTAAATAATCGACGACAAATTACATGTAGGTGTGTGCAGAAGTTTGTCCTTCGACTGTATGAAAATGGAACGCAACATGCGAAGGAAGATTCAAACTTTTGTACGCGTCTAATAATAAGGTCGAAGAATGGAGTTGTACGTAATTAATTATTTAATTAGATACATAGTCAACACACATACATACACGCACACACAGAGAGGGAACTAATGCTTACGTTTAAAGAAAGCAGCTTAGTAAGCGCTTTGTGATGATTGCTTCTGATTGGGATGTTCTCATAGATTTATGGAAGATCTAAAAGAATACTCCAATCATAGACAATAATCATACGAAACGCTTAACAAGCTGTTCTTTTTTTCCGCTGAACGCAAGCAATAAAACGACTCAACGAACATGTACACCGTGAAACGCACTTATGCACGAAATCATTGATGATTCAGCTTGCTTTCCGGCGAGAGACACAAGTCTATTATCTATTATCCTTTACCAAATGAGAAATAAGGACAAGTGGTGATTAACATAACTGGATTGCTTTCCAGCAAAAGACACGTCTCTAGTTATATCATAATTTATCTTTATTTCGCAATTCAGCAAAGGAAAGGACAATAGATAAAATAATTTTTGTTTATTGCTGTGAAGCGACTCTAGACTTGTGTCGACTTGTATCTCTTGTTAGAGGAGAGCAACCTCAATCCCCAATCGAGCATTGAAGTGGTCGGTGAGAATCAACGTGGCAGTCAACGCGTTGAACAGTCTCAAGCGTAGTCCACAATGGGCAGTAGAAGTATGTCCATAAGAAGTAAGAATAAGAATCGACCGATCATATTCGGTTAATTTCTTACTTCTTATGAACATACTCCTACTGCCCATTGTAGACCACGTTCCAGGACGGATTGGCTGAATTGACCGACTATAATACGGGTCCAGAGTTTCGTCGGAAGACGAAGTCATCCTTCGTCGAAAACGAATTCCTCGGCCGAATCAGCCGAAACGCATTACTCTATTGTTACGGTATAATCGTCGCAATATCCTGCTCTATGAATGAGTGTCGCATCGATCATTGTCACTTAGGAACTCATGCACTGCTGACATACACTCTCTTTCCAAAATCGGTCCTCGCGGAAACGGACGCGAGAGAGAGTCGAGGATGGGTGTCACGAGAGCGCACGAGAGACGATCGGAAGGAGTGCTTGAGCGACTACGTGCCATAAAGAGTGATTAGGCGGTGGGCAGGAGTGATTTGTAGAGCAATTTCCACAATTGTACACATTCCCCCTCTTTCGCGATTGTAATTGTGTGTAAATAGAGGCCAGTGTAGTTTGAAGCGTGTAGCCGCTAGTAATTATCTCGCGCGATAGGAAAGATCGCGTGTTTCACATTGGGGTAACGCATTTCTCTTTTTCCCGTTTCGAATCAAAATCATTTTTAATCGAGCCGTTAGAATCACCACTTCTCTCTTTCTCTCTCTTTCTTTCTCTGTCGCCGTCGCATGTTGTATGTGTAGTCATAGATCTTCCCATCGTCGTTTCTTTTACATATCCGCGTCCTCGTAGCGTATTTCGCCGCTAAATGCGTTTCTCGTCGCTCTTTTTGAGAAAGATCGAACATTGATCGAACATTACATCTTCTATTAGTTAGCATTTAGTGCGAAATATGCAGCGGGAATACGGAGTATATCTGTTGTAACTCTAAAATGTCACACCGTGTGAATTCCTTTTAACAGTTTCCGCCATCGTAGTTGAAATTTAATCGACGATTAACTCAACGGAATTGGCCAGTCGCATTGCCGGCCAATTAGCTGAACCGATCAATGCGATTGGACAATTCCGTTGGATTAATTGCCGATTAAACTATGATGATAGTAAAAACGGGTATAAGTCGCTGATATATGATAGATTTAAGCGAGCGACCGGGAATTAGACGATAAAATAACGCGCTGCGGGGGCCTGTCGGAGAATTCATATACGATATGACACCTTAGGGGGTCGAAACATGTACCTTTAACTCGCGGAAACTTCGATGATTGTAAATTATCCCGTTACTTGCAACCTTTATATTTCATTTTACTTAAATAGAAGGTACTTCGTAAGATAGTCCGCTATAAAATGTTACTCTCGCCGATAAGATCTGTAATCAAATAACACATTTCTGTAACAATAACGCGCCGTGTATATTTAGCATTAAATAAGCGTAACACACATAATCTGTAAATGTGAGCGTGAGAAATTTGTTATTGACTCATTTATGTGCGCTCGTGCGAGTGCAACTCGTAAAATCTATGGTATATATATATATATATAATTATGCACGTGTGCCGTCGCGCACGCGCGCGAGCACCGCCGTCTCTGGGCGAGACACGTAAAGAGTATAAAAATAGTTGATCAAGTTTTACGCATAATCACAAGCACCATTCGCTCCAAGGGCATTGATCGCTCAAGCGAATAACAACCGGCGAGATCTTAGTTTCGATACATGTAAAGACGAGTGTATTCTTTCAGTTGTACATTGGAGCCTGTCTGTTCATAGATCATCGTGTCGTTTCTCTCTGATCGATCTATCTAATTTATGTAATTTCTGAAAAGGGTAAACGCCGAAAAGTCCCACGATGTATTTCACTACACGAATATTGAATCGACGTCGGTATGCTGTAAATGTCTCAGCGTGTACGAACGTACTACTCTGCAAACACCCGAGTGAAGAAAAGTGAAGTGTTATTGTTCACTCACGCAAATCAGTCGTCGAGCCTTTTTCTCCCCCCGTATGTTTATTGTAATATAATTTATTTCCACTAACACATTGATGGGGTAAAACATATGTATTGTCTCGTGTAAACTCGTTAACGAAGGATGTATAAATCTTTAACCGAATATAAAAATGTATATTTTTAGACATAAATTTTAGTACATATCGCAAATCTATATTTTTTTAAACAAGTATATATTTCCGTCAAGGTAATAATAATTGCTACTGTCCGTCGCAGTTATCATAGAGAGATATTCATTTCTTCCGTACGTTGAATTAGATGGAAGTTTCAAAACTCAACCTAAGTCAACTTCTCTCATGCCAAATAGTCTCACATCCGTATGTTAGTAAAAGGAAAATATACACACACACAATGTCCTGATAATAAAGATGGGATGTATCGTGTAAAACAGGTACATTTATATTTACAGTTTATAAATCTTAACGTTTAATCTTGTCGATTCTCAATTCAGTTACATAAGGATAACGCATTATGTTGTTACTGTATATAATATATATCTGTGGTGAAACCACTTTTATTACGTTTATAATTGTACAGGTATTTTGCGTGAGAAATTATTATACAGATATATGTACACACTTCATTAAGAAATATATGCATATATATCTCGTATTACAACCTAAATTCTTCATCTTCATTCTCTCTTGTCTAAATTAAATATACTCGTGAAATAAATATCCGTTTGTATGTGTTATATAAAAATATTGTCATTTATATGTTTTTACTAGTAAGTTTGCAATCCATTGACGATTGTATTTGCAATAATCTTGTAATCGAAATGTCGTTATACATACAATTATATAATTTGTCTTATTATAATAATTTTATTAACCCTTAGCGAACGAATGCTGCCATATTTGCGAATATAATATCGCGAATATGGCGGCATTCGTTCGCTAAGGGTTAATATAATAATTATTGTTGACTTAACAAATAATATATAATTTTGATGTATAGTTTTACAAACTAACAGTGTCTCTCTCTCTCTTGTGCGTTTGTTTGTTGTAATGCCACCACAAAAGGGTTACATATTATCAGATATATATAGTTATGGTTGCAAACTTACTTATTCTGCAATAGTTGCAGCTATATTTCAAGATACGGTGCATATGTATAAACTGTAACTACAAAATAAAGGAAATAACAAAGCGTTTAAAGAAATGAAAAGCTTTCAGTATAAACATGTGCATCTGAAAATCATGATGTTAATTAACCATTATAGTTTCCTTAGTCTTCCAATGACGTACTTCTAATAACATAATATATAATAACATAATAACATACATTGATATAGATAATATAAACTCCCGGTCCCTCAACTTTCATATTCTATTGTAAGAAAAATTATGTGGCTGACTGCTTGTAATTCTTTATATTCAACAACCTTTTACCACACATAGCACATATACCTTTCTTGTAAGCACAGGACTGGCAGTAATGGGAACCTACTTGATGAACTTTCTGCCTACATATCCTACAACTCTCAAATTTAGTAGTATATGGTGTAAATCGTGCTTTTCCTGCGGAAAGTGCCTTGTTCTCTCCTACTTTACGGCCTCCGCTTTCTACTGTGTTCCTTGCACCTGCCTTCCAAGGATCCGGGGTAATGACTGTGCCCAATTTCTTCGCACACTTCTCGCAAACCATATTGAGGCTCTTTTGTCGGCGAAATGTCACAATCTACAAAGAAGCGCAATGTGAAATCATCTAAAGGATTATTTTAACAAAATATCAAGGACACGATTATTACACGGTTAACTTGTGCATTCAATCTGATCTTCTTGTCTATTTATGTATGTATTTAATGTTTGATACCGGTTTACTGCTATACGCAATATATGAAGGAGATGTGAAATTCTGATCTTCTTCCTTCTCTTCTTCGCTTCTATTTCTTTGTCTCGGCAACCTTCCTACGTCCTTATCTTCGCGTAAATTCAGAAATGTTGTAGACAACAACTGGTGTGTTTCACTTTATCACGTTTAAACGACGCAAATCGAGGTTATATTCGGTGACGGGTTGGGTTAGGTTAAACACAAGAGGCAGATTAAGAAAAAAATGTGTCCGATTACTATCGATAATTCCAGACGATTCGTACAGCAAATGTAATATTTTCGCGCAATCGGCTACTGTAAATTAAATCTAATTCGTTGAATTCAGAACTTTATATTATTCACAGACAAGTTGTTTATTTCAGCCTCTCTATCATACGTTTCCTGCTGTAGCTTCAAGGTGTCAATTGAGCGTTCTTACAGCGCCATTTCACGTCTGCCATGCGAGTATTATCGGGTGTAGTGATTTCAAAATTGTGATTCTCGAGTAATTTTTAGAAAATAAATTTTATTGGATATCAAATAGTACTTCGAAACACATTGTAAGAAAGACAATGTTAAAACCTGCTTATGATATTTCAGTTATATAATCTTGTTATAACACATACATGTTTGTCTTACTGTAATAAATATAATCGATAAGTATCTCAATATAATAAAATATTTCATACAATGTACAATATTTCTTAAGAAGTCGTATTAGCATTTGGTCCACGTCGACGGCCAAAGGTCTGAACAACATTGACAAACCTTCGATTGTATTGAATGCGTCGTTTAGCACGGCCAGTCTTTTTCTTACTTTTCTCTTGCCTTTCAACCTAATAACACATATTAATATAAAAATAGTATAACCACATATAGAACAATTATAATATTAGAAATGCAACTAATGTAAGTTCACATAAAAGTCCATATTAAATACATAATGATGATTCTATTTGCACATATAATGATAAACTCAAAAAATATATTGAATGATCTCTTACCTTGGGTGTTTGTGCCTTTACTTTCCCAGCACGTGCCAGAGAACCATGGACCTTTCCTAAACAAAAAGAATGGAATGTTTTATAGAAACAAAATATCAAATATTTATAAAAATAGGATCATATGGAGAAATACTTGTCTTCTTTCTTCAAGATTTATGAGTAACTCGGGGATAAGAAAAGATTTTACAAATCCAAATAAAACATTAAACTTCTATGAGCCTGTAAAATTTTTTAGTATCTCAATGGTATATTAGTTTACCTCCTAATAATGGTATGGTCAATTCAAGAATATTCGATGGAAGTTCATTGATACAAGTCTCATCCGACAATAAAGATCCATTACAGTACAGATGAAATTCATCTTGTAAACCTTGAAGGCACGCAATTCTTTCCTATAAAGAATAAAAAATATTACTAATCACATAACAGTTTTCTCACTCCCTCCCTCTCTCTCTCTTTCTCCCACTTTGTCTCTAAATCTATTCATACACGTTGTCCATATAATAAAAATCTCATTTTGTCGAAATTATTTTTGTAGAAAATTCCTGAAAAGCCAAAGCTTAATCACTTTTGCACATATTGTAATTTACACGTTATTTTTACATCAGTGCTCCTTCTAGCATTATAAAGCAAATGCTAGATTATCATTTTAATGCTATACTCTTGAAAACTGTCGTTCGCAGGCAAATATAAATAAATACACTGGCATTAAGATATGACTCAAAGATCATAATACCTTCACGAATTGTATTTTTTCGTCATCTTGGCACTCGACGACGGTCGTTTCCTGTCCACGGATTGTAAGTTGCATTTTGATAAAATCTATGCGGTATTCTGAAATATCGAAGCTTCTCTGATGTATCAGCTCGTATAATTTATTATTTTGCAACACTACAGCGAGCTGAAAGAGTTTGGTTAAGTACGTCGTCGTATTAGATCTTTAAGACCGTGTCACACCACGAGTTGCAGATTCGTTGCGGTCAGGTGTTCGAAACTAACCAATCAAAAGCGAAAAGTGTTTCATTCTGATTGGTTAGTTCCCTAAACCGTAACACCAATCACGACGAGCCTTGCGATCTGTAGTATAGTTGTAATGGCCTCTACATCCAATAGGAGGGTTCGCTTTTAGGGTCCCCAGTTAGCTATTTGTTTCCAGCGAACGAATCCCCTTATTGGACACCGCACTTTGCGCATCTCACGCCGGAAGTGGTGTGAATCCGACATTACAGTGCGGTAAAACGCAATGCGGCAGCCAATCAACTCGTCGCTTTTACCGACGAGAACGAAAAGCGCCACCGTGGCGCTTCTCGTTGTGCGGCAAACGTCGCTACATTCTATCTGCAGGAGCTGCGAGTTCAATATCCTTTCCAGTTGATGCAGTCGTAGGGAGGAACAACAAGTTTGAGTCTATTTCTAAAGTCCTGAATTGTTTGGTCAATATGGTTGACGGCGTTTTCTCGCTTCGTGGTAAACATTTCAGGCTGCGCAGCTGTCGTTAAGTAATTGCCTTTCTTTATATATTTTTTTGCTACGTGTGTTACATTTCTTTTTCTCGGTAAAACTATAACACACACGCATTAATGTAAACGAGTAAGATCGGGCGACAAAACAATCGTTATATCTAACGACTCGCTTTATCTCGAAAATGAGTAGTGATTACTTTGCTTCAAGTTCTATTCATACCTTTATGGTATCGAAACTAGACGCAATTGTACGCAGCTTAATTTTTATAAATATGATTCTGTACCATTGGAATTCTCGAATTGTGAAAATATATAATTATATCTTAATGTAGCTTTTTAATATATGCGAAATTTCTCGTGTCCCATGGTCTTCGAAATGAATGATGAATTTTCGGGGCAAAGCACGAAAGCTCATCACGCGCATAATTATCACTTTTCGTATTTTTCTCGTATTTATATTCGGGCATTTCGCTTGTCACAGCCATAGGTTATAATTACAAGAGCTTATTGTCGGGGGGGGGGGACTACATTATTCTCGAAATTCGTTATAGAGAAAACGTCATTTGCGACTGCAATTTTGCGAATACCACCTCGCGACTAATTATCGATTTTTGCCGCGAGTGCAGCGTCCGCGTTACTAATTTATTTTTACCAGAAATATACACACGTCGCGCATAGAAACCAGTGTTATTTTCGTTGTCATGACGTCTGAGGGAGGTTTCTGCTGCGGTCTCTGCATTGTCGCTCGGAGTGGTTGCTGAGAAAAATTAAATTCCCAACGACCGCGACGATAATGACGTATGTGTCGTATGATCGGTACAAATGAATGGATCGACAAATTTAGATCGTATAAAGATAGACTGGAAAGAACGTTCGATTCGTGCATGGAGTCTGCGAAAATACATGTAACGACAACGGGATGGGTTTATATATATATATATATATATATATATATATGTATCTCTCTTCGATCTTCTTAATCAACGGTAGCTATTAACGTTCGCGGAGAGATGCGTTACTTGTACCATTGCAACACCGAAAATATCCCGGTGATCGATATCGTACAGACACACACATACACGTAAACATAAAAGAGTACGCGGAAGAGCTTGAAGAGTAATGCAGAGAGCGGGGCACGCCGTGTACCCCCCGCTTACTCGCGTGCGGTGCAAATTTTATTACGGTATTACCGTGCTCCATAATTCTCTCAACGGCAGCGGCATAATGACGAAGCGAAATCAGCGCATCGTCGCCTCGAGCTATCGCGCGCTATTCGATTACCGTCCTCCAATAATTTTATTGACAATAATTATTTCTCCAAATAGACATCGCGACGCTGCGCACAGACACCTCCCCGAGCGAGCCCGTGTGTGTGCCCCTGTGTGCGCGTATACGTGTGGAAACGTCGATAATGTTCTAATATTGGATTTGCGTAAATTCTATGTGGGTTACACGCTACCCGTCTTACTTCTACCTATTTCGCTCCGCTTAAGAAACGCGTTATCTTACGCCGGAGAGAAGTCGATCCGCGTTCGCCGAACGATAACACGCCTCTCGGCGACTTCCGACGAGCGGGATCTTATCTCTCGGCGGAATGAAAAATTCACCCGGCCGCCGAATTGCCGCTCGGATCTCTCGCGGGGG